GAGTTGCAGGGCTGAGGGGCGGGCTGGGAGCAGGTGTTGCCGCAGTTGGTGCCGCAAGAGTTGCAGGGCTGAGGGGCGGGCTGGGAGCAAGTGTTACCGCAGCTGTTGCTGCCACAGCTGTTACAGGACTGGGAGCCGGAGGCTGCCTTGTAGTACACGGCTACGGCGGGAGCGGCAGCCTGGGAGCAGGTGTTGCCACAGTTGGTGCCGCAGGTGTTGCAGGCGGGCTGGGAGCAGGAGTTGTCGCAGCTGCTGCTACCACAGGTGTAGCAGGCGGCCTGAGCGGGGGCCTGGGAGCAGGTGTTGCCACAGTTGGTGCCGCATGTGTTGCAGGCGGGCTGGGCGCAGGTGTTGCCGCAGTTGGTGCCGCAGGTGTTGCAGGCGGGCTGGGCGCAGGTGTTGCCGCAGTTGGTGCCACAGGTGTTGCAGGCGGGCTGGGCGCAGGAGTTGCCGCAGCTAGAGCTGCCGCAGGTGTTGCAGCCCGACTGCTGGGCGGGGACAGCCTTGGTCTCGGTCACCTCGATGATCTGCTCGGAGGCGCCGGACTGGGAGCACGAGTCTCCGCAGCTGGAGCCGCCGCAGGAGTAGCAGGGAGCGGGGGCGGAGGCAGACTTGCAGTAGACGGTGGCGGCGGGAGCGGCGGGGGCAGCTTGGTAGTAGACCACGCGCTGCTGGGGGGCGGCGGGCTGGGCGCACTTGCGAATGCAGTTGGCCTGGTCAGCAAAAGACACGAGCGGGGTTAGATACTGGAACTGGAGGGCGCGACCGATCTCATGGCCAAGGTCCATCTGACGTAGCCACATCGCTGATTTTCCCTCGATACTGAACGAGTCAATAACTAAATGACATCAGTGGCAGGTAGCTTGGAGAAAGGCTCGTGGTGTCGCGAAAGAAAACAAAAATACACACACACACACACACGCTTACCTCAGCGATGCCGAGCACCAGGGCGGCGAGGAAGCACGCCTTCAATACGGCTGCGGCGTTCATGGCGGCGATTGTGGCTCTTCAACTGGACGGGAGCGAAATGACAACCCGGCCCCGGATACACTCGCACTTTATAGAGGCCGGGGGGAGCGTGGCCAAAACACACGGGGGCTGCTGTTGGTTAAACTGCGGGCCTACTCCGCACGCACGGCGCTGCGCGTGGGTGGAGGCGGCTGCAGCCAGAGCGGGGGGAACAGAGGGGCGATCGACACGACGACCCCTCTCTCAAACACACGACGCATCTGACGGATCGGTAGAAGCGTGTAGGTATAGGCAAAGTGTACGGAAACCCCTGCCCACTTAGGCCACATTCATGCGCATGTGTGAAAATTGTGAATCCGTGGGAAATTTACCTACTTTATATGTTGACATTTGGCAAACCCGCCAGTGCGCGCATTTGGTGCGTGCGGTACAGCCTACATACCCTAAAATAGACGACGGCACGAACAGCCCACCCTGTCCTGTATTCCGGTTGTTTGTTTTCGGGGCGCGACACACAAACTGAAAGGCTCACACTTCTGGTCTGATTTGCCGGGTCAGTCAATAACAGTTCGGTTTTTACTCGTTCTCTGAAAACACCACGTCTACTTCGTGTAAGGCGGGCAGGTATTGTAAGGCGTAGGGGCACCCCCCCCCCC